CTGACACTAATTTTGGCACCCATTACCTGCTGCACAATTACAGATAACAGGCTTTATTTTTACAGGGCTGCAGATTCTAATTTGATAGCGGAGTTTTTAGATCAGCATCTCCCCAGGCAGAGGCACTTGGCAGCACCATCCCAGCCGCTCGCGCCAGCATCGCTGCTATGACAGCTTTGCAAACACGGGACGGTAAAAGCACAGTTTTATGCACCAGACTTTGGACTTGAGCTCCAGCTGCCGTAGCGAGGAGGGGAGCAGTGGGCAGGGAGGTGGTGGTCAACATCAGCACAACGTGCTGGAGCATCTTCCCATCCAAAGTGAGATGCTGCCCTGGGTCTTTGCCTGCACAGTTCATTTGCATCAAGAAAAAAAGAAAAGAAAGATCTCACCTTAAAACGCATCATTGTACAACAGTGAGGCAAGGCATCCTTTCCCCTGGGCTGGCTACCTCACGCAAAGCCAAAGTTTCGGGTGAGATTTCCAAAACTGAACAAAAATAAAAAACCCAACCCCTCGGGGAATTAGGAAGGCTATTTCTATTTATTTTCCTACAACATCTGTTGAGTATTTTGAAAAGAGAAAGAAAACCCTGATGTATTTACAAATAAAAATCCCTGTAAAGCATTAAATTTGCCTACTACGTCACTAGGGCACGTATGATCCAAGTGACGGTTTTGAGCGCTGCCAGCTCCGCATGTACAAGGCAGACACCGCCCATGGCAAGGAGAGATGAGCCTGCGCTTGTCCCCCAGGCAGTTCTGCTGAGTCTTTTCACAAGAGGGTTTTAACTCCCTGAAATTTCTCTTTTCTAACGTTTTCCAAACGTAGATATTCATTTCCTTACTCCGAACCCTCTGGTTTCCACAGCAAAATGTTTTCCCTGACCTTATACCATATTTTAATCTTTTATTATTCTGTACCGACGGAGATGAAGAATTGCAGTTTCCTTGCTCCCGAAACAGGCGGGGAGGGGAGCGGATTTTAAGTTTCCAAAGCACAATTAGTTTCCCATCCAGCTGCAGCCAGCTCTTAACACAAGTGGTCTTCATCTCTTACAAAATCCAGAAGCTGTTCAGCTAATCCTCAGCATGTATCTACCAGGCTAAAATTGTCCTTTTAATTTCCTAAGCCTCTAAACCCACAGGTTAGAGTATCAAAAAGAAAAAAAAAAGCACATGCAAAATTTTACAAGGTTATTGCTTAGCAACTGCTCAATAAATACCATAAGTAAAGGCAGGAAAGGAGGTGCTTTACTACTTTGACTAATCCCCAGAGTCAAAGCATTTTTCAGCAAAGCAGACGCCCATCTCAACCTCAGCATCCCCTTGCACCCATCACAGGGTCCAACGCGTGATCTAAGGCAGCCTCCCTTCCTGCACCAAGCTGCGATAAAGCTCATGAAACATCATCAAGGTGTAATCAACCCAAGTTTAGCCACCAATGGGAAATTAATCTTTATTTCACCCCAACTTAGCACAACTGCAGCCCCAGAGGATGCACAGTCTGGGTAAAACCCGCTGCCCCACGCGAGAAGGCAGGAGGAGAGCAGGGATGGAGCTGCACATCTGCACGCCGGGGAGCAAGGATGGCTCCTGGATGGAGCCGAGATGCTGCCGGTGCAGCCAACAGCCCTGCTCCGGGAGGACAAACCCACCGGACGCCCTCCGTGCACGCCACAGCCTCGCCATGCTTTCATGGCAATGTCAGGCAGTGACAGGTTATGCTAAAACTCAGACCTCCATATCACGGCTAAGCAATTACTCATCATTTTGTGCTCTACAATTTACTTTACTCTATGCCATCGTATTAGTTACTAAGTACTGCGCTTTAGCAAGGTCAACGGGGCAAGTTTGGGTTGCACCAGTAATTACATCCAGGTCAGCAGCTTCTCCTGCCGGTGCTTGGCAATGCCAACGCGGCTGTGCCAACAGAAAACCCCTGCATGGGAGCAGGCAGAGCCCTTGCTTTACCAGGGCTGGTTTTGTGGGTGAGCCGGGGAACAGGCTACATCCTTTTATTTCCTTTAGTTACAGGAAACAACGAAAATATGAAAAAAACACTTTATTCACCGTTTGCATCCCTCAGCGGCTGCGTGCAGGGACAGCTCTCCCCACGGGTGCTGTGCCAAAAAGCCTCCTGTGAGCAACCTGCTGTTTGCACAGCGCTTTAGCAGAATTAGCTGTGAAAACAAGATAAAGCGACTGTGAAATCCCTCCAACCAGCAGGAACAAGCCCAGCAGCTGAGAGCCCTTTGAGGGACACACTGCGGTTCCCACACTGCCGGCCACGGAGCTGTGGGAGCTCAGCACCACTCTGCTCTGCCAGGCACCACCCAGCTCCATCCTGAAGGAAGCTTGACAATAAAAAAAACCCTCTGGGCGTCCTCCTTTTTTTTCCCTCCTCCTTACCCCAATATTGCTGCTCTCCCCAGCTTTTCCAGGGCTTGTCCCAGCTGGAAGCAGCATCCCACGTGCAGTCAGGGCACTGCCATGACCCAGGAGCTCCAGCTCTGCTATTTCCCTCTTGTCTCTGATTAAGGGGGGGAAATCAATCCTTTTTCCATGCCTGGATTCAGACAAGGGGTCATCTACTCTGTTGAGGTATGCAAAAATATCAAAAGTAAATACAAAGTTTAAAATAAAGCAGCTACTTGGGGTTTCTGCAGTTTTCCAGCAAGTCAGGCCACAGGAGGGAATTCCTCTCCCACATGGCAGAAGTTCCTGGGACTCTTTCATTCTGGACTTTCATTTAAACCTAAATTAAATTTCCAGGTTTCTCTTTGTGAATGAGGGCTCTGTTATTGCAAAGGCTTCAAAGGAACAACAGCCAGGGACATGGAGCCCTGGACTGACCGGAGTCTCCAGTAAAACTCCCCTCCCAGGGTCTCCACCTCCAGTCCAGGGCTCCATGTGACTCCAGTCCAGGCTCCATCTCCAAAATCCCAAAAGAGGTATTTTTTTTTTCTACTGGAAATAAAGCAGAGCATCCAAATTAACAGAAAAACAAAGCAAGTGGACCTTTTTTTCCCCACCTCTGGAGCAGTACCTATGCTTGAACCACAGGACAGCCGAGTTGGGCTGGTAACATCCACACCTGAAGGAGCTCCATTTTCCAGTTAAAAGCTAATTGTCTTCTTACTCATTAACTATGCTAGGCCTTGCTCATTTTCCTTGGTAATTTTCTGCCCCTCAATCTTTCTTAATAAGCACTCTATAATGCAGGACACCCAGCGCTATCTGGATTTACAGCATCAGAGCAGCAGTTAATACTTCTCAGCCTCATAATCCTTTAATTTAGGGGCAGCTCTCAAACATATGTGCCAGGCTGACACACCGATTTATTCTCCGGCGGACCCTGTCTGCTCTGGACTTCCAGTTCGCATCAGCTCCAGGAAGGAAATGCAATTCTGGGCTTGGTTTTGTAAAGTCACCCTGCACAGGAACAGCCAAGCCTGCTAAAGCCCAAGCAGAGAGGGATGGTTTTATGACGATTTCTCTTAAAATAACAACAGAATGGAAGCCGCTAAAGCCAGGCTTTCAGACAAGTGGTCCCAGCCGCCTCTCCAAAGCAAACATTGCAGCACTGAGCAACAGAAATAAAAATGACTTCATGGATTTGCTTTGGCCCTGAGCTTGTAGAAATGAAAAATGAGCTGGGTTTCTAAAACTCCCTTGTTTCCCAGGATCCAAGGTTTTATTAACAAGTTTGTCAGTAAGGATTTTTTTTACTATTTCCAATGTAAGCCACAACTTGAAATGAGATTTATAGAGCCCTGCTCTGTTTTTCCATCCTGCAGAGACTGGGGACAGTGACCCCGTTAAAAGGCACGGGGGTGAACAGACCCTCTCCTCACATCTTTGCTGTGTGGTCAGCCCCAGCCAGAGACAGATTGGCCGTGATGGCTTTGGTGGCTTGCAAAGGACGGCACGTCACAGCACAGCCCCCAACACAGCTCACCCAAAGAGCTGTCATTGTGCTAGTCGAACCGGTGAGTCGTTCTTCAGTTTTTCCAGCACCTTTCCAATTGCAAAAAGTTAATGTATTGCTACAACCGCCACATTTCACCCTTGGCTATGTGAAAACAAGATGCCATACTACTGTTACCGCACTGGAACAGCTACATGGATACAGCTTTGGCCTCTGAAGGAAGAAGGACAGAAGAGGCTCTGCTAGATCACACACTCCTGGGGCTCTTCTCCAGCCCATCGCTCTGCAGACTCCATCCACTCCGGCAGCTTTGTCAAGATCCCAGACACGCTGAGCTCAAACACAGTGGGGCACCTTCCCATAAAGTAGCCAAAATAATTTCTAAACAGCTGATGAAACCAAGGGTGGTGAGGGGAAACTATCCCTCCTTGTCCATGCCAAGAGGCTAACAGGAATTCAGCAACTTGCCAGTAAGGAAAAGATCCCACATGAAAACCAGTGCTTTGCTGCATCTCACCACCCCAACACATCGATGCTTCCCTCCGGGCGTTGCAAGTCAGAGTCTGAACGACACGGTGATGTTAGCACCATCGTTTATTTGAAGAGGGAGCACAGCCCTGGGGAGAGATGCCCGTTGTTCCCCTTCTGCGGCATGGCAGTACAAAACAGCCCCACAGGGAGCAAGGGGCCAGCTCCGAACATGGGTCACCCCAAAGCACACCTCCCACAAGTGCACAACTCCCCCCCTCTTCCTAGAGCAAAGGGGAATCTCTCCATCCCCTGGGGAAAGCTGGAAGGGGAGACGCAAGACATACAGGAACCTTCGCAAAAAGCCATTTC